AAGCCTAATGGCACAAGAGTGTATCGTTAAATATCAGTGAGCTTGAACATTAAAAAAGCATCACTGTGCAAACTGCTAACTCTTAAGTGGTGGCTTATTCACTATATTTTATTGAAGTAATCGTATCAACACAACAATACAAAAGCCTTGGAGCACTGAAAACCTTATGAAAGTAAAAGCACAGAGTATTATCAGTGCTCATTATAGAGAAATATTATTATTAGAGTGTTAATACATCTATGTACAAATAGCATTTTATTGGTGCTGGAGGTCAAGGTGGAGCTTAACTACTCTATATACTGTTACGTAGTTTAGTCCAGTCGTTCCCAGCCTTTTGTAAGGGTCAGGCATCCTTCAAAAAAGATCTGACACGTTGGATAATGACTGTTGGGGCATCAACACAAACTTCTGCTCTATTCAATGATATTCATTTTTGGATATTTCTGTAATCTTAGCTTTCTTGTGAAATATTTTCTCTGAGAATACAGATGAAGTGACCTCACCAGTACACTTCATCTACTGGGATCTACTGGTTTGTTCCTGGAAGACATACTTTATAAACTTATCTAAAACCTTAATGTGTGAAGTAACTAACAGCTACAGTACGGTGCAATTACAAGTGGAATAGAAATATAATGTAGCATAAAATGGAAATACATAAAAATTGTCCCTGAGAGCACAATGTGAGTTGGTGTTTCATTGGTCCTGAGAGTCTGTCACATGGTGAACACAGTTGTTCTGTTTACATGCTGTGGCCATGGCAAAGGATTAGTTACACAACAACAGACCCTGTGTTATACATACAGCAACACTCATGGACACAGACATATTGTATAATGAGAGGAATGGACAGATGAAGTGTCACCTCTTATTAAAGATCATTTCCAGCCATAGCCTCTCTCACCCATCAGCGCCTCTTCCTTGTCCTGCTTCACATGTGGACAAACCATTATCACCAAGCTCTCTGACACTTTTCTAGATTGTCGCTAACCTCCTGACAGTGTGGCCACTCTTGCCCCAACACCACAAGCATGCATTGGCATATATGACATGCGCTAACAATTGGACAAGGTCCCCAGCTGTCCTGTCGCTTTCACCAGCTGCTAAGCCTTAGACTACATTAGGCTAAACCATGTGAAGTATTCTGCTCGTGTTTGTGTGTGTGCATGAACATACATCATACGTAACCATGTCTGTCTTTAGCCAATGGCAAATGCTTTTAGCCTTGTCTCTACAGCCATCTAAAGTAGATTGAGTATTTGCCTTTGACTCCTGTGGACAGGGGAAGCGTGTGAAAGGAGATCATTTGGAGTATGCATGCATAGATACACAATAACAGTCAAAAAGAGAGGAAATAGAGGAAGATGGGGAAATAAAGAGAGGAGAGCAGCAGAGCAGATTGGGTGTGAGAGCAAAGAGGAGTGGGGCTCGCTAAGCCACACTGCTTGGCTCTTTACAGAATGTGGAAAATGAATTTGAGACTGCCACGTAATCATCTTATCCTGGGACTGTGGTTGGTCCCTCACTTACACAACGCTCACACCATCTGAGAGCCTTTCATTTAGCAGGCTGCGAGACTTGATATTCCACATCTACTGGCTGGCTTACTACAGCTGGCCTCAGCCACATACGCACATCTAATCTCTAATCACGCCTGCTGCTCTATAACTGTGTGTGTGTGTAGGTGGGTGGGTGGAATTGAGCTAGGCAAAGAGGTTACAAAGGGTTGTGTGTGCATTTTTGCTTGAGTGTTTTTATTGTTCCTCTGCAAATGGTACATGTGTGCTGCAGTAGCTGCATCCTGCTGTTACACCAAATATATCTTTCAGTCTTGTTGTGGGATGGAAACACTGTATGTTTTTGTGTCTGGTTACATCTTAAGAAGCGGTTAGTTCTCACATAATGCTTGTCTGGGTAACTGTCTCAACATCCCTGGCATTTTATTTTATTTTTTAAATGTATTTTATTGTTTGAAATTTGACAGTACCAGTGTACGAAATCTGAAAGGTTGCAGTAAACATTTAAATGTTAGCAAAAAATGCTTGACATTTAAACAGGTTTTTATCTTAAATGGCCATCTGAGACGCAGTAGTAAATAGAAAGTGTCCATCTTGAATGAGAAAGCCACTTTTGTGATTCAGTTAAAATGTCTTGAGTACACATGTTCCTTCTTAACAATGTGCTCCTTCATCTTTTAGTAGTAGCTGCTTGTTTAACCACTGGAGTACACCAGTGTTTAAAGCAATATTTAAAGGTGTATTAACCAAGATTTTATACATTGTCTGATAAATCAAGTGAAAATGGGACAGCTATACTACCCCCTTCATTCACTCTGCTTCCTACAGTCTTTGTTCTTATTCCAGTTTCTCTGCTATGTGTTGTCAGAGTTCAGTCTTTAAATTAGTCCCGCCTGTCACCAGGCAAGGGTTATGAGAAGCGTTTTTCAAACAGTCATTTCAAACAACCAGCCATGGAGGAGCCCTCAGCAGCTAAATGTCTAAAACACTGGCTGCCAGAATGAAGAGGCCACGTTCGTATGCAGAGTGGACCAAAGAACAAGCAAAAACCCGGGTTGTTTTGAGTTTCACTGGGCCCTTGGCCAGCTACAAAAAAAAAAATTGGTAGAGTAGCTATGTAGCTGTAACTTTTGAAAGGGATAACAACACAGTTTTTTGTCACACAAAAGAAACGTTTAAATGATTAACAACAAAATGCATCAGCTTATGGCAGCAACATTCTTAACCACCTTTCACAGTCAGTGAGGTCATTCAAACCTGCAGCCACTTAGGGTTTTTCTGTACTGCTGCATCATACTAGTGGAGAAAAACTCCACTCTTGGTTACACCTACACTATGTCAGGTGTGTGCAGTTTGAGAGGTTTCATACATTTCATGAGTTTATTTTGGGATATGATGTTGCATGAAGCTGATGTGTAGCCACTTACCCTCAACCCACTAATTCTACTTAATGTTACATTTAGCTGCATTTCGTTAAAGAGCTGTTGAAAGTCCATAGAGATGGGGTGTAAACTGCATTCAGTTATAATTGGGAGCATAAATATAGTCAGCTTGCCACTCTCGTACCTTAAAATCCAACATTTACTCTATGTTCTAGAGCTGCACAGCATTAAGGTCTATTATAGTTGCTGTCAGCAGAGATCAAGGTCTTTGCTACTTCTGTGATGTACATGCTCTTTGGTAATTGTTAAGAGCAAATGTAAAACTGAAGCATTTAGTCTTTTATTCTGAGGAACACAAATTAAGATATGACACTTAACACTCCTACAGTATTTTGTACTTGCATGTTTTAATACAGCTGCATGAAGATCTGTCATCTTAGCAATAAAGCTAATAGCAATCAGTACCTTTTCCGACTTTCTCAGGGAATACAAAAGTCTAGACAGAAATTATTGCAACATTGGCAAAGGTTCAGCTGAAGTTACTAGACTAAGCTACTTTGGATAACACTGAAAATATGGAAAGGAAATGTTAAGGACATGCAGTATGACAACCTGTGAGGTACAAAAACAACCACACACTTTTGATTTAGCTGAAGTCAGATTTCATTAGTCTTGTGTATATTTCCTTTTGATTAACATCTGTCCTCTTTAGAAAACATCTCTGTGTGACATACGTCACAAATCTGCTGCCCTGGCCCTGCTTGTCACTGCGGGGATGAAAACTGCTGAGAATCCACAAATATATTTGTCTTTGTGGTAATAAGCAAATATTTTCAGGCATAAATCTCAGTGATTCTTTTTAACGGGGTCACCGGAGTCAATCCTGGCAAAGGCGGGGTACACCCTGGACAGGTCGCCAATCCATCGCAGGGCTAACACATAGACAAACAACCACACACACACTTTCTAACACTGGCCACTCAATGGTGGCCAGTGTTAGAAAGTATTTGCATTACATAACTTGATGCACTAACAAAACAAACATTTCAACAATTGCAGCATTCTGCTGACAGCTTTTATACATAAGAAATACAGTTGTGATCTGGGCATGAGGTCTCTATTTTACACAAAAAGTAAGCATGACCACAAAAAAAGCAAAGCACCTGCAGCACCAGTCAGATGTATAAAGCTGAGAATTCTCTTTACAGCTATTCTTTTGCATAATAAAAAAGGGAAGTA